TGGATGATAAAAGTCCCACATCGGTTAATTTAGGGAATGGTCATGGGTTTATAATGGTCATGGGTTTATAATCTAAGAATACACTATTCATTGATGAGGCCTGTTGAGGAAGCTCAAAGCAAAGCGGTTTATAATCTAAGAATACACTATTCATTGATGAGGCCTGTTGAGGAAGCTCAAAGCAAAGCCATGAGAGCTTATGTTCAAAGTAGACAATATCATACCATTGTGGAGAGTCGTGTTCGTCTAACAATCAATTGTCAAGATAATAGACGGTGTAATAGAAATTTTATTTTTTAAATTCTATTAAAAATTAAAAAAAAAAAATTGGGTGGATGGAAATTAAAATAAGTGGAAAAAAAATCAACATTTAAAAGAATTTAATAGGAAAGTTCTCATAGTCAAGGTGTTCAATAAATTATATAAATGAAATAAATTTACTAAGAAAATTCAAGGCCGGCTTTCAATAAATTAACAAAGTCAAAGTCTTTTTATATACATATTTCTTTTAAATTATTATTTTTTAAAAAATTAAATCGAAATGTCATTGTCTCCAGTTTTCCACATGGAATAACTTTAATTTATGTATTTTTGTTTATTAATAAAATTAATTCTCTACAAAATAAATTTGAATATATTTTAATAAATATTGAAAATGCAAATGGCTCATTCCAACGCACAAACTCAGTACACTTGAGGCCAATTTCAACTCTCTAAGTCTTCAACAAATGAGTTTAGTTCGTGCTTTAATGATGGGTAAGACTCCTTTTCAGGAGGTCTGGTCTTTAACCTACAAAGTAACTCTATATTCTGATTTGCAACGATCCTGCTCAATATGACACTTGTGACACACTTGCAAAGTCTTCATCCAACCATTAGGTTCTCTATATTGTTATACTTTTTAACTGTGCGACGTGGTGATATTGACACGCTCACGATAAGTCTTAAGAAAAACTCAAGTCTCACTCACATTTTTTGTCCGACATTGTGGCTTCGTCAGACCATAGGCAAAGTTTGTCTTCGCTAATCGAACATCATTTGTACAGAATCCAAGCTTATTCGGTCACACACGTCGATAATGGTAGTTATAGATAGTAGTTAGCAACGACCATAAAAAAGTGAAAATAGTGTAAGGGTATTTTAGTAATTTTTATATGACCATCGTACCTTGAAAGAGATTTTCAATCAAACACGAACACATAATTCAATCATTAAATCATTAATGGTTATATGTGTGAGAAAAAAGCATGTTGTTCTTTTTAAAATAATTAATTTTATTCTCTTGAGTCAGCTTGTACGTTAAAGTAGATGAATTAATTTGAATCCGCTTTTTTATTTTGGCTTGTGTGATAATACAAATTAAATTATTATTATTATTTTAAAAGTTTTTAATTGCGTGTGACCCGAGGAGTTAGGCTATATACCAATATCTAATGCCCATTATCGTTATTGCCCATTTTTTAATCATGTATAAAGATAAATAAAAAATGCATTATTATAATTTTATTAATTTTGTTTATCGATGAAAAAAATTATAAAAATATGAACTAAATTATAAAAAAAAAACTAAAAAATTATTAATTTTAAAATATATATATTAAATTACGATAGAATCATACCTACAAATATCTAATTGAGTGATTATTTAAAATATATATTAAAATTGATTTGTTAATCTTAATTAAATAATGAAAATAACAGTTTCATTTATTCACATTTTTATTTTTATTAAAAATAAAATTTTGAATAAATGACTCAGAAAAATTCAAACCAACTCAATTTTTATAAAAAGTTGATAGTTGAATTAATTATTTAACAATAATAGTTTGGATTATAAAAATTTTAGAACTCGATCCATTCAAATAAAATAAAAACTTGGAAAATAAATTAAAATTGGCAATGGGATATAATAAAATAATAAAATGTATGTTATTTAAATATTAATATATATATATATATATATATATATGATATGAACTAAGAGACATCAATCATACAATATACTTTAATGAAGATGGGAAGAAAATATTGTTGAAATTATTAAAAGATATTTCAATTCATGTCACATCGAAAAAGAATGAAGTTTCATGTGATAAATTTTTGGTAGATTACAATTTAGAATTATTATATTTCATTAATGTATTTTAAGAGTTTTTATTTAAGGTTACAATTACATAATGGTTAATTATGACCATTAAGTATGAATCTAACAACTCTTGGAATGCTTGAGTAGTTTCATTTTGAAGCTATATAAAGCTATGTATATTGTATTTGTGAGCAGACTTGAAAAATATATAATAAAAGAAACATTTTTGCTTTTCTTTAGTCAATGACTAAGTTTCTTTGCAATTCTATGGAGTTTAGATTACATATAGAATCATTCAAGCTCGACATGATCAATCTTGCTTGTGGAGTGATTCGAATCTTAAACAATGTTCTTGTCTTGAGATATTCGATAAACAAGGTAATCTGAATCTTATTCCCTTTGTAGTGATTCCTTATCTTATCATTTGGTATCAGAGCTTCAGGCTCAAGATCGGATATATGTTTTTTTCGCGTTTCTTCTCAATTTGATTTTTATTTATTTTTATCCTTTTAATTTTTAATCTATCAAAAAGTTCAAAATTCAATATTTGCTCTATTTAAATTTTGAGAGGGGAGGATGAGAGATGCGGGTAAAAAGAGTGACATAAAAATTGAGGGTAGTTAGATATATATATATATATATATAATATACAAAAATGAACAAAGCTTTCGCTTTCAGTTTCCCGTCAATTTTCGGCCTCGACGAGCCGGAACGTGGCTTAATTGGATGGTTGGATCTCGGGCCTTTAATGGGCCCACGTCCTTAAAACTGAGGGGTCGTAGGCGGTGGACATTTTAACCTTTTCCTAACCCAAAGTGGACCCATGGTTCCACTAACTCAACTCTGGTTAAGGCCCATAGCGTCTTTTTCTCTCTTTATTTTTTTTTTGCTCTTTTAACGGCGTTTGGAGTTTTTTTGTTTGTTTATTTCGTTTGACTTTGAACGGCGGATAACAAGGCGTTTAGGTTCCGTTAAATATTTTTGCCACGTGTAAGGAGAGAAGAATAGTATCCAACCAACCCATGGAATTCGTGGCGGTATTCGACCACGTGGACCTAATGGATCATAATTGTGGACAAAAATGCCACACAGCCACTTTCCTTTCCTTTTTATTTTTATTTTTATTTTTTTATTAATTCCATTTTATTTAGGAATACTAAATTAGGGATTGTCATAATTTTTAAAACGATTTTCTTTTTTTCATTTTAAAATTTTATAAACTAAATAAATACAGATAATTTAGGATATTTCTAAATGGAATTAATAAACATCAATTCGTTTCCATTTTAGGGTGAAGTTTGGTAAAATTCAAAGTAGAGTAAAAATAGTAAGCCTCGATTTACGGCGTGGTAAAAAGCAGAGATTCCTTGAAGTATAAGGGAAAGGCCGTTTTAAGGAAACCGGGCGGTTTTGCAGAAAAGCCCACAGGGTGTCCTACCTTTCCGTGCCACGTCAGCATTCTGATTCCGTTCACTGAGCTAACTCACTCCCGTCCCGTCCCGTTCCGTTGTGTTTCCGCTATAAAACCAACCTCCCCATTACGCCTTTCCTTGCTTTCTTCAATACAATTCACTTTCGAGACTCTTCCTTCTTCCTCTTTCATTCTTCTACTTTCTCGCCATTGCCGCCTTTCTTTGAACTCGGACTGAATCTCTTCCCCTTTCTTTTTCTCTCTGTTTGATTCTCCGGAATCAAGAAGAAATCGTCTGTTCGAATTACCTTGGTTAGTTCTTTTGACCTGGTTCTTGTCGTTCTTAAGGTATGCTATTTCATTCCTACATTCGTAATCGTGGTTTCGTTTTTCTGGTGATATGCGTTTACTCTTTCGTTTTGTTGACTCTCTGTTTTGGTTTAGTTTCGTTTGATATGTTGATGTTCTTTTCTTTTTTCCATTTCGAATTGCTGTTTTGCAATGTTTTGTTTGTTCAATCGCAGTGTTAATTTGTTGGGATTGGTTTCAGTTTGAATTCTGTTGTGTTACGTCCATTTCGTGAAGCGGCTCGATTTAGCTGTGTTCTTCCACTGATCGAGCTTCTTATGTACTGTTTATAGACTGATGGAGCAATTTCAGAACGACGATCTTGCGTATATTGTGGATGATTATTTTGAAGTCGGTGATTTTGACGACGGACAATTTTTCTCTGATGATGACTCCCATACTGATCAGAGTACCGAGCACATAGACTCCGACTTTGAGGACGACATCGATACAGTCAGTATTGCTACTTATCTGTTCAATTTGCCTTTTCTCTTGTCTTATTGATATCGTAATGAATTGTTTTTCGGAATTTTGTTTTTACAGAGCACGCCGAGGACGGATACCTCTGCTTTGGATGCTAGGAATGGGAAAGATATCCAGGGAATACCTTGGGAGAGGTTCACCTTTACTAGGGAGAATTATCGGGAAAATCGTTTGAGCCAGTACAAGAACTATGAGAGCCTGCCAATCTCTCGAGATGAACTGGAAAAGGTGCCTTTTCCTTCGTCAATATTCGTTGCCCTGTACTTTCTGACGTCTCTTATTTCGCGAGTGGCTGCCCTTCCACTTTCTCATCGTTATCATAATAATTTTATAATTTTTCGTCTTTCTGAACAACGGCGTGTTGCTCAAGTAATTAGAGCTTCAGGCACTTGAAAATCATACTTCCATTTTTAAATTTTTTTGGGAAATAATTGCTTGGGTTTTCTGGGTTATCGGTTCTTTTATTCACACTCTGGTCAATACCAGAGCTATCTAACTTATTATTGTTCTGTTCGTTGGTTAATCTTGACAATTTCCTTATCATCGTTGAACTTGCTTTGACAGGAATGCTTGCGAGTGGAGAAGGGGAATAAGTTTTATGACTTCCAGTTCAATACAAGGCTTGTTAAATCAACAATTGTTCATTTTCAGGTAAAATTTTTATGAGATTAAAAAAAAAAAATGATGAGGGTTTTTTTTTTTTTTTTTCCTCCTTTTCAGCTCATTTCATTTAATATCAGTTCTAAGATCCCGTCCGTCCCTCAAGAACTAATTAGCTAATTGGTCATCGTTGACCTCATTTTTTCCGAGCTTTAGGTGTTTCTGAAACCATATTTGCTACGCTTGATCAGGATGCGTTCTTCTTTTACAGTCTCTTGATCATAATTGTAAAACCATCGTTAGCATTGTAGTTTTGCAGGTTTTGAACATGTTAGTATCCTTTAAGGATGTATTTATAAATGATTCTAGCTCTATGTCCTGATCATACATTTTGAGGTATGAACTCCAGAATTGTTATTATGTTGGTTCTATTTTTCAACTTGTTCATTTGAGATGGATTAAATTACCAGATACTAACGAACTTTGAGAAGTCTTTCAGCTTAAGAATTATAGTCCACTGAGGCCACGAATCAGTGCTTGTTCAGGCATGCAATTGCTAAAAATCTAATTTCTATAATCTGGGTGCTTGGTTTACCTGTTAAACTATGATTATGGATAACGGTGCCATTTCTCTTACAATTGGAACTAAATACTCTCTAAAGTTTTGAAATGAGCCGCTCTTGATGTACTGAGACAGGATAAGATACTTTTTGTTCTTTCATAGATAGATAATTGATGCTTGCTTTCTTCTAAAGTTTTGCAATCTAAATTTTGCGATGAAAAAATGCTGTGCTGCTTAATCTTGGATGTCTATGCATCTCTGCAATGACCTTGTACCTTTGATCATTGGGCGTGCATCATAGTGATGCTAGTTACTTCTTGAGGATGTCAATTTCCCCCCTGAAAGTGTTATAATTTTATTGGTACTTAAAATTTCTTGGACATACCCTTCTTGGTATTGAATTCCATCTTACATACTTTCTGGGACAAATGACAATTGGGAACCCCATGTTTATTTTAATTTTTTTATGATATTAAATACGATTCCTCGTCGGAGTGTTAAATACAACTTTATCACTTTAACCCATCTGTGGCATTTAGGATTGCTATTTCTGTTTATTTCAGCCTTTAAAGCAGAGTGGAAGTTATATCTGAGCAGCTGCCAGGACGTTATTATATGGTACGATAGGAAAAATATCTGAGCATTTAAGAGGCCTCTGTAGCAACCTGTAGTTCAAGTAGATTTTAGCCTTCAGAGAGGCTAATTTAACTCTAATGAAATATGTTTCTGATAGTTACTTGACTTATCTGTGTTTTTTTGTTTTTTCTGTGTTCATGATATTTTATTTATTCGTTGCATTACAGTTCTAGCGCAATTCTTGTCAGTCAACCTTCTATTTCTTTTATGTCCGTCACAGAGTCAGTAGTCTGCTGATCTGTGCATCCATTATGTAACTTAGCCCTGTGCATATCTTGCTTTAGCCCTGCATTTCGACCGCCTTGTTAGAATTCTATTATCATGCACCTAAATCACATCCTTGAAGGATGAGGTTGAAGGCATAACCTTTCAACCCCTGGTGGCAGCTAATTTTACTTCTGGATTCAGTTACAAACCAGTTATTTAATTCAAGGGGTACCGTATAGTGCGTGCAATAGTAACCGACTTGTTTGTTCCTACCTTGCAGCTAAGGAATCTCTTGTGGGCAACTTCTAAGCATGACGTATACCTTATGCAAAACTACTCAGTAATGCACTGGTCCTCGTCGCTTCGGAGAGGCAAAGAAGTACTCAATGTAGCTAAACAAATCGTTCCCACTGTGGTATGTGATCATTGGACAGACCGAGGGTGCTTAAAGTTTTGCTTTGATTAAAACGTAGTTACTTATAATGGGATCTCTTGAACAGAAACGCCCTGGAGTCTCGTCACAGTCATTGTCCAGAGTGCAGATAAGTACTATGACAGTAAAGGAGAACTTAATCGTGGCGGGTGGTTTTCAAGGGGAACTAATTTGCAAGGTATGGAGATTTTTGTAAACTGTCTACTAATCAATGGGGTTTACAGTATCTAATTTGCTTTTCCTTCATGGTGCAGTACGTGAATAATCCTGGAGTTGCATTTTGCACCAAAATGACAACAGAAGAAAATGCAATTACAAATGCTGTTGATGTATTTCTAACTCCAGAGTAAGTTTCATCCCATCAAGGGCGTTAAGGTGGTCCATCTTTTTCATTGCCTCAGGGCATACGGCTTATGGTGCCCTTTTCTTTTCAGTGGTGCAACAAGGGTTGTTGCTGCAAATAATGATGCAAAAATTAGGATTTACGATGCTAAGACATTTACTTGCCTCAACGGCTTCACGTTTGGCTGGTCTGTAAATGTAAGTGATGCAAACTCAAACGTTGTAAAACGTTTGATGATTCATTACTTGCTTTCTTTCTCGTCTTGATTTGGCCCTTCTCGTTTCTACAGAGCACCGCTGTTAGTCCTAATGGGAAGATGCTTGCAGTGCTTGGGGACAGTACAGAGTCTCTGCTTGCAGATGCCAACTCTGGCAAAGTAAGTATTCTTCCGAGCTTTTCTACCCATGTGTGTGTGAGAATTGTTGGGAGAGGAGTCCCACATCGGCTAATTAAGGGGTTGGTCATGGGTTTATAAGTAATGAATACTATCTCTATTGGTATGTGGACAATATCATACCATTGCGGAGAGTTGTGATTTCTAACATACTCTTCTCTTGATATGTTAAATTTGTGAATGTTTAATCATATTCTATTCCGTTGCGCAACAGGTGATAGAGAGCCTGAAGGGGCACTTGGATTACTCTTTTGCTTCTGCATGGCATCCTGATGGACACATTTTGGCGACTGGGAACCAAGATACCACCTGCAGGCTGTGGGATATAAGGAATACGTCCAAGTCTCTAGCTGTGCTCAAGGGAAGAATGGGATCAATCAGATGTGTAAAATTCAGCTCCGATGGCAAATTCCTGTCGACTGCAGAGCCTGCAGATTTCGTCCATATCTATGAAAGTCGCACAGGTTATGAACAAGTACAAGAAATTGATCTGTTTGGGGAAATTGCTGGAATATCCTTCAGTCCCGACACGGAAGCTCTGTTTGTTGGCGTTGCTGATCGAATATACGGTAGCTTATTAGAGTTCAACAAACGACATCATAATAAGTACATAGATTCCATGTTCTAGTTAGAAGAAATATGTATTCAAGTTGTTGCCGTTGTTTGAAGTGTTCAATTGAGAGTAAAGGGCAGCATAAGCATTGGCATTGTCTGGAAAAGGCTTCACCAATGTCCTGAAACTAGAAAGAGGTCTGCCTGAAGGTTTCCCTTTTAGTTATACTTTGGGCGTGCTGTTGAAGCTCATCGCATTTAGACCTCCGTTTCTTTTGTTGCTGCCTTTATTCTCTTGGGTTGTAATGAATATGGTCAGTCCATTTTCAACAGATTGATTCAATTCATGTAGTTACTCAAATCTTCTTGTATTGTATATACCCCAACTTCAAATCTTCTCGACATAGTAAAGAACGAAACCATGTCGGCGACAAAGTCGACACCCAAAGCACAAGTCAACCGGCTTACGCTAATAGAGGAGGAAATGTTGTTCCTCAAAGAAGTCCCTGACACCCTCTGCTTCCTAGAAGCACGGGTGACCGAATTGAGTGAGAAAGTCGTAGAAATCGACGCAATGGGCAACCGCCTGGATGGGTTGCCAATTGCAGAATTGATGTTTCGAGTGATCTCGCTCGAAGAAAGAGTTGGTCCTACGAGCAGTCCAAAGCCGTCTGGCAGTCCGGATAGCTCTGTCGCGCACAAGGAGGGATGTGGCGAAGAGTTCGACGTGCTACAATATACAATGATTAAAGTGACGACATCCAAGAAAGGATGGGCTCCATGGGCACTCGAATGAAAGTGACCATGAAAGCCGTGGAGAACGTCACGACTGGACAAACTAATGCAGGGTCCAACAAACTAAGATTCCCAGATCCGGAATCGGGACACGCCAACTTGTAGGGTCCAACAAACTAAGATTTCTAGATCCTAGAGTCTTCAAAGGGAACAAACTAAGATTCCCAGATTCGGAATCGGGACACGCCAACTTGCAGGGTCCAACAAACTAAGATTTCCAGATCCTAGAGTCTTCAAAGGGAATCGGGACGCTAAAGAGTTGGAAGGGTCTAACAAACTAAGATTCCCAGATCCTAGAGCCTTCAAAGAGAATCGGGATGCCAAATAGTTGGAAAACTTCATCTTTGATGTCGAACAGTACCGACGACAAGAAGATGACCGTAGCCTCAAGAGTTGAGGGACCAATTCCTCCCCAAAAACGCAGGACATATAGCAATGAATTCCTCCCCGAAAACGCAGGACATATAACAATGGAAAAACTAGTAGCCTTGAAACATACTGGAGGCATACGAGACTATGTCAGACAGTTGTCAACCCTGATGTTAGATATCAGGGCACATCGGACGAAGTGTTCTTCTTTATAAATGGGTTACAGCCGTGGGCCAAAACAAAGCTACACGAGAACAAGGGCCCAAAACAAAGCTACACGAGAACAAGGTCAGCCGTGGGCCAAAACAAAGCTACACGAGAACAATGGCCCAAAACAAAGCTACACGAGAACAAGGTCCAAACCCTAGTTGCCGCAATGGCCTGTGTCGAGAGACTCCTAGACTATGGGAACGAAGCGGGATCCCAAAGAAGAATGACACCAGCCCCAAACACTGGGGAGCAAGACATACAAGCCACCAGGTCATCGAAATGGAAGCCTCAACAGACCGAACGGAGGTAACGACAAACCAAGCGGATGGAAGATAGACCTCCTCAGAACAACCAAGCGGGGACATCTCGAGGACCTTACCATCAAAGGAACCACCCGACGACGCCTTTACAATGCATGCTGTGTAAAGGTCCCCACAAAGTATCTTACTGTCCTCATCGGGCCTCTCTCACTGCGCTCCAAGTGTCCATTCAAGAGAGCAATGACACAAGGGTCGAGACTATGCTAGACAAGAAGGGATCAAGACAATCCCCGAATGGGCGCGCCTAAATTCTTGTCAGCCCTCCAAAGGAAGGTCGAACCGAAGGAGATAGTAGAGAAAGGGCTCATGTTCGTAGATGCGACAATAAATTCTCGACCGAGCAAGAGCACTCTGATAGATTCAAGAGCGACCCACAACTTCATCGCCGATCAAGAAGCCTAAAGATTGGGACTCACCATAGGAAAGGACCCGGGGAAAATAAAAGCTGTCAACTCTGAGGCCTTGCCTATTGTGGGAGTTTCCAAAAGAGTCCCCTTCAAAATAGGGGATTGGATAGGAGAGCTAGATCTTGTTGTAGCTCGCATGGACGACTTTGACGTGGTACTTGAGATGAAGTTCCTCCTAGAACACAAAGTTATCCCAATGTCGTTGGCAAAATGTTTGGTGATCACCGACCGCAACCCCACAGTAATACCTGCAAGCATCAAGCAACCAGGTAATGTTCGAATGATCTCGGCCATACAATTGAAAAGGGGACTCGCACGAGAGGAACCTACATTTATGGCCATACCACTGATGGAAGTAGCGACCACCGAAGAAACTGTCCCAAATGAAATCAAGGAGGTACTAAATAGCTATGCTGACATAATGCCAGAGAGCTTACCCCAAACATTACCACCTCGTCGAGGCATTGATCACGAAATCGAACTCATCCCCGGGGTTAAACTGCCAGCGAAGAACGCATACCGGATGGCTCCGCCCGAGCTAGCCGAATTAAGGAAGCAACTGGATGAGTTGCTGAAGGCGGGATTCATTTGCCCGGCAAAGGCACCCTACGGAGCCCCCATACTGTTCCAGAAGAAGAAGGATGGGATGTTGCGCCTGTGCATAGACTATAGAGCCTTAAACAAGATGACGGTACGCAACAAATATTCGCTGCTGATAATATCCGACTTGTTTGACCAACTTCACGAAATTGGACTTACGATCAGGGTATTACCAAGTACGTATTGCCGAAGGGGACGAGCCCAAGACGACGAGCCCAAGACGACATATGTAACAAGATATGGGGCCTTCGAATTCTTAGTAATGCCCTTTGGCTTGACAAACGCCCCAGCTACTTTTTGCACGTTGATGAACCAAGTTTTCTACGAATACTTGGATCAGTTCGTCATAGTATACCTCGACAACATAGTGGTTTACAGCACAACCCTAGAGGAACACAAAGTGCACTTGAAGCTAGTGTTTGACAAGCTACGACAGAACCAACTGTATATCAAGAAAGAGAAATGTGCATTCGCACAAACATGCATCAACTTCCTTGGACATGTCGTCAAATGTGGACAGATTAGTATGGATAGCGATAAGATAAAAGTTATCCAAGCATGGAAGGTTCCTACTTCCGTATCCGATGTGCAGTCCTTCTTAGGATTAGCCAACTACTATAGGCGGTTCGTCAAAGGGTTTTCACGACGAGCAGCCCCATTGACAGAGCTGTTGAAGAAAGACCACCCTTGGTCGTGGTCAAATGATTGTCAAATGGTCTTTGAAGATGTGAAAACAACCATGATGAGGGGTCCTGTCCTCGGATTGGTAGATGTTACAAAGTCATTTGAAATAGAAATAGATGCTTCCGACTTTGCCCTAGGTGGGGTCCTTATTCAGGAAGGCCACCCCAACGCTTACGAAAGTCGAAAACTCAATGACGCCGAATGGAGATACACTGTCTCCAAGAAAAAAATGCTGGTTGTAGTCCATTGCCTTCGAGTCTGGAGACAATATCTTTTGGGATCACAGTTCGTAGTGAAGACGGATAACAACGCCATTTGCCACTTCTTTGATCAACCAAAATTGACGGCAAAACAAGCCCGGTGGCAGGAGTCGTCGGCCGAATTTGACTTCAAGTTTGAACACAAAGCAGGAAAGAGTAATCAAGCAGCCGACGCACTGAGTCGGAAGGGCGAACATGCGGCCTTGTGCATGTTAGCCCATATTCACTCAAGTAAGATCGATGGATCGATGCGCGACATCATCAAGGAACATTTACATAAAGACCCATCGGCCAAAGCCGTTGTCGAACTAGCTAAAGCTGGGAAAACACGACAGTTTTGGGTTGAGGGAGACCTTCTGATGACAAAAGGAAACAGATTGTATGTCCCAAGAACGAGAGAACTGAGGAGGAAGCTCATTCAGGAATGTCATGATACCTTATGGGCCGGACACCCTAGGTGGCAAAGAACATACGCCCTAATAAAAAAGGGGTACTTCTGGCCAAACATGCGAGACGACATCATGCGATACACCAAGACGTGTCTCATCTGTCAATAGGACAAAGTCGAGAAAGCCAAAGTCTCAGGACTCTTCGAACCTTTACCTGTGCCAGCAAGACCCTAGGAAAGTGTATCTCTGGACTTCATAACACATCTCCCAAAAGTCGGAGAATATGACGCTATCTTGGTTATCGTAGACCGATTCTCAAAATATGTGACGTTCATCCCCACTCTCAAATTATGCTCGGCCGAACTCACAGCCCAACTATTTTTCAAAGACATTGTAAAGTTATGGGGCATTCTGTCGAGTATCATCAATGATAGGGATGGCAGATTCATTGGGACATTCTGGACTGAGTTATTCGCCTTCTTGGGAACAACCTTAAACATCTCCTCGAGTTATCACCCTCAAACCGATGGATAGACATAACAGTTCAATTGCTTGCTCGAAGAATACTTACGTCACTTCGTCGACGCTCGCCAGAAGAACTGGATACAACTATTAGATGTCGCCCAATTTTGCTTCAATTGTCAAACCAGCTCGTCTACGGGAAAGAGTCCCTTCGAAATTGTAAGTGGACGACAACCGGCCTTACCCCATATTATTGATCATCTTTATGCAGGGAAAAACCCTCAAGCTCACAACTTCACAAGAGAATGAAAGTAGACAACAGATATAGCCCGGGCATATTTAGAGAAGGCTTCCAAGCATATGAAAAAGTGGGCGGACAAGAAGCATCGCCCCCTTCAATTCCGAGCAGGAGATCAAGTTCTCATCAAGCTGAAACCGAAACAGATCAGATTTCGCAGCCGAAAGGACCAGAGACTAGTTCGAAAATATGAAGGCTCGGTTGAAGTTCTTAAAAAAATTGGGACTACCTCCTACCGAGTTGCACTACCCGCATGGATGAAAATCCACCCAGTAATTCATGTGAGCAACTTGAAGCCATACCACCCTGACTCAGACGACGACCAACAAAATGCAATAACGAGACCGAGCATCAATCTGAAGCAAAAAGAAACAAAAGAAGTAGAGGAGATCCTCACCGACAGGGTTAGGAAGATAGGAAAACCTGTACGGACGATTCGTGAATTCCTTGTAAATGGAAGAATCTCCCTAGAGAGGAAACCAGTTGGGAACGCGCCGAAGATCTGAACTCCGCCGCCACCCACATCGCAAGGTTTGAAAGTAGTCGGTTGACAGGGACGTCAACCAATTAGGTGGGG